CACTGCAGCAGGGGCTGGGTGGTCCCTCCCAGCCCAACTCTACCCCCCCAAACCCTCTTAACACTATTAATCCTTTCCTTCTTTGCCAGAAACATGAAAAGCATATCATCCCCCTGGGATTTCTATTTGCCTTTTTCAGATTATCAGGGAGGATCAGCCCCTTGGGGTTAATAGATCATGTCCCCTTTTCTCCTCCCGAGACTCTCCACTACCCTTTCCCCAAGACCCTAAGGTTTACTGTTTCTTTTGCAGTCCTGTCCAAGCATTGACACTGGACTTTGGAAGTGAAGCTGGAAGTGAGAGAGAGTTTTTTAGTAGCTCCTTTTAATATTTGTCAGCTCTGTTTCTTATGCTGATCATTTAGCAATTGCTGATAGCAGTTTATTACTATCAGCCTACATCCCGTTATGAAAAAATACAAAAGAACTATCTATTGTCACTTGGGAAGCCGGAAGTGAATTCAATTTGGGAGGGAGGCAATAAACAAATAACCTAGCCACCTGTTTTTACTGCTCAGTGACTACAAATATAGATTCTCCAGACAGTTGCTTTTTTTGAAGTTTGAAATACACAGAGCAGCTGGAGGCTCCTGTTTGTGTGTATGTGCGGGGGCTTACCATGACATCAAACTCTGAGGTCACATAATCTTACACTTAGGAGAACATGGAGGAACTTCTGGTCTTCAAAATTATTAACTCAGCATTCACAATTGCTCTATTTTCTAGTTCCCTATCCCCTTCACATCCTAATATCCCTCTCCAATTGCAACCAAAACTTTACTGCTATTTCTTACCCATCAAAGATAGTTCTAGGTTGTGGGGCCTGAAACTTAGAGTTTGGGGGACAGTCTTTAATAAAAATGATATTAAAAAGGTATGGGTAGTGCAGGCAGTGACCGAAGTTAATATTCATGTTAGCTGTTAGTATTCATGTTAGCTGTTAAGTTAATGTTTATGAGAAAAGAAGTCACAACAAATTACAGCATTTGAACAGCTGACATAGATAAAACATCCCAATTTCCAGGCAAATAACATTTTTATTAATTTATTAATTAACTGCCTCACACATTTCTATGATCTTTTTCCCCCACGTTTTTTGATCCTCTCTTCAAATGCTTTGATCCTCTCTTCATATGACATTTTTGTAATACAATTTTTCCTAGAGAAAATGTAGAGAATCCAATCTTTCCTTTGCACTGTTAATAATTTTTATTACTATTGATAAATTTCAACTTTACAAATCATTATTAGTGATGGGTAAATTTTCAGTATTGTCAAATAGGAGACAAGTTTCTTTCTTACATGGGCTTAAGATTTAAAGGTTCTTTTGGGTGTAGATTTTTTTTTTAAAGATTTATTTATTTATACAAGCACTGGGCACAGTCAGAAGCGTGGGAGGGTGAGAGAATTCACCAGAGCCAGAGTGGGGAACAGAACAGGCAGACTGACGAAATACACTGCTGAGGGGAGCAGCGGGCGGCAGGAGAGGTCTGCGCTCCATGTGGGACCCTCACCGGAGGCCGGGGAATGAACCAGTGCTGCAGAGGCTGCAGGCAGCCTTACAGCCCAGTGCTCAACCGCTGCGCCACCAGGGGAGGCCCTGGGTGTAGATTCTTAAGGAATCTGAATGACACAAACTAGTTTGATGTCAATGTCCTCATTATATAGTGTATTTTGAGTTTTATAGTATCTTAGTCAATGTCAGTATTTATGCCAAATCGCCAAGAAATTAATCAAGCCTGTGGCTACCACTCCCCTATTTCACATTCATGTGAAAAGACACAGCTTGATGCAAACATTCTATTAGCTTAACTACCTCACAGTTATAATATCACGTAAGCCGCCACTGAGCTCTGGCCACACCATAGTGACATCTAGACAAGGGAATAAAATTTTCCCTCTACCTTTCTAGGTTCTTGACTGAGAACCCCTGTAATAAAAGATTGACAGAAGAAAAGCCAACAGAAATTTAATAACATGTAAACTGAGTAACACCTGGAAATGGCCCAAACCATCACCTTAAATACTATCTTCAGCTAAAGAAAAAAAGAAAGATGTTGGGGCCTCCCCAGTGGCGCAGTGGTTGAGCGCTGGGTTGCAAAGTTGCCCGCAGCCTCTGCAGTGTTGGTTCGATCCCCCACCACCGGGTGAGGGTCCCACATGGCGGGTGAGGGTCCCACATGGCTCGCAGACCTCTCCTGCTGCCCGCTGCTCCCCTCAGCAGTGTACTTCGTCACTCTGCCTGTTCTACTCTCCGCTCTGGCTCTGGTGAATTCTCTCACCCTCCCGCGCTTCTGACTGTACCCAGTGCTTGTATAAAAAAATAAGTAAATAAATATTAAAAAAAGATGTTGGGGGTTACCTGGACAATTAAAAGGGGTGTGGTTGTTACTTGGATTTGTCGGTGCCTTCTTTAATGATAGGAATGTCTAGAGATTGAGTCAATGCCCTCTTCTTGGTACAGCAAGTGAGACACCATCACAAATGGAGAGTTCCCGCATACACACAAATATCCCTTACAACAGGGTAATGTGGGGGCTCCCTGGTGGTGCAAGGGGTTAAGACGCAACCTGTGAAGCTATCCTAAGCCACTGCAGCACGAGTTCTATCCCCAGCCAGGGAGTGACCCACATTGTGCAACAAAGGTGTCCTGTCTCGCCCGCTGCTCCCCTCAGCATTGTATTTCAGTCAGTCTGCCTGTTCTGCTCCCCACTCTGTCTCTGGTGAATCCTCACCCCCCGCACCTCTGGCTTGTACCCCAGTTCCTGTATGCATAAATAAATACATCTTTTAAAAAAAGGGTAATGTGGGCTTGGTCCCACCCTAAAGAGCCAGATAGACTATTCAATATGCCCAGAGTAAGTCTCCTGTCACCTTGGTATGGGAATTAGAGGTCAATCAAGGCTTAGAGAGCTTCCAGAAGTATATTACCATTACTTAAAAAATGCAGAATATTTTAGGTTAAGAGCAGAGAGGGCCCTAAATGATAGGAGAAGCTTCTGACCTTACCTAAGTCCTCAGCCCCTACCTAACCAAAGAAGAGATACCTAGCAGAATGTAGTTTGGAAGGTCTTATCCAGTTCTAGGCTACGTTTATCAGTAACTACGTCTTTGCTAGCTAAGAATCTCTTTACTGGAGCCTCCCTGGTGGCTCAAGGGGTTGAACACAGCACTATTATGCTATCCACAGCCACTGCAGCACAAGTTCCATCACCGGCCGGCCAGGGAGCAACCCACATGGTGCAGCAGACCTCTCCTGACTTGCCTGCTGCTCCCCTCAGCAGTGTATTTCAGTCAGTCTGCCTGTTCTGTTCCCCACGCTGTCTCTTGTGAATCCTCTCACCCTCCGCACTTCTGGCCTGTACCCCAGTTCTTGTATGCATAATTAAATCTTTAAAAAAAAGACTTTCTTTACTCTCAGAGTAAGGATAAGATCACCCCCTCCTTGTCTGTCATGTGAAGTTTCCCCCTCTTTGTTATGACACTCTTGGTCACAGAATGAAGGATAAATATCTTGGTCCACTATATTATTCTTTAGAATTTATAACCATGTAAATTTTCCACATATATGTTATTGTTTGTCCTTTGCTAACTCATCTGATCTCTGATTACTCCTTCAGCCCAAGAAGGATCCACAGGGGTATGGGTTGATATCTTTTGTGCCTTAATAGTAATTTCTACTGGGTTTTAAGAACTTTTCCTATGTCTGCTGTTTCTTTATTTTTAAATTTATTTATTTATGCATATAAGAACTGGGGTATAGGCCAGAGGTGGAGAGGATTCACCAGAGAGAGTGGGGAGCAGAACAGGCAGATCTACTGAGATACACTGCTGAGGGGAGCAGTGAGTGAGACAGGAGAGGTCTGCTGCGCCATGTGGGTCAGCTCCCTGGCCCAGGATCCAACTGGTGCTGCAGTGGCTGCTGATAGCTTGATAGCACTGTGTCTTTAACCCCTGCGCCACCAGGGAGGCCCCCTGTCTGCTGTTTCTTAAAATTAACTAGCTTGGTATTTTAAAAATATGAAAAGATGCCTTTTGGGACAAAATGGGTGGATTTTGAGGTGGCTATGGTAAGTGAAATAACTAAAAAAATGAAAGATTGTTGCTGGATGGTGTCACTCATTTGTGGAATAGAAATAACCAAAGAAAACAAACTGGCAAAATACAGTAAGTATAATTCTTAGACTGAAAAATATACAGTTTAACAAAAGAGATGGGGAAGAGTGAGGTGGATAGTGGAGGAAAATATAGTGTATTGACATTGGAGTTTTGATGGAGAGTGAGTGAAGCCTGTGCACATCTGGATGGTGCGGTTGTTCTTCCAGAATTACTTAGTTATGTAAGTGATTGGCAAATCAGTAACATTTGAGAAGGAAAAAAAGAAAAATGCAAAAAAAAAAAAAAAACAGCCCAAAATAAACCTTATGCCAAAAGACACATTATGAGGTGACAAATGTTGCTCCCCTTCACATACAGGACATAGAATGAGTTGCTGCATTTAATCATTTGCTCTGTCATTTATATTATATCCTTCACATTGTATATTTGCTACTTTAATAATAACCAACTTTAAATCAAGTCCAAAGTGTTATTTCTGTACATCTCTGAATTCAGACTAGGCTGAACATTTATAAATATATATTTGAAGTACTCTAAGGGCACAATCTTATAATTCTGCCTTTTTTTTTTTTTTTTTTTTTTTTGTGGGACCCTCGCCAGCGGCCGGGGAACGAACCCGCCCTGCAGAGGCTGCGGGCAGCCTCGCAGCCCAGCGCTCAACCGCTGCGCCACCAGGGGAGGCCTTTATAATTTTCCTTTTGATTCAATTTGTAGAGGAGAAAATAGAGAAAGACTTAATATATTGCTAAGTTCATCTAGCCAGCCAGAGAAGAGATTGGCCCCGAACCCGCATCTGTGGACTCCCAGTTGTTCTCACTAGATGCCTTCATGAAGGATTTACTCCGCACATCACACCCTCAAGAGTTTTTCAGAATATGTTACCGACATCTTCCCTCGGTGAAAGCAGCTCCTAGAGATGCGGGCTCCAGGCACAGGCGCGCTCAGCCAGGGAGGGCAGGCAGCACAGGCTTTTCAGGTGGCAGAACTAAAGGTATCAGAAGGCAGGACAGCCAGGCAGACCAAGGGGGAGAGCAGCCAGCACGGGCAGCTGTTGCCGTGACAACAGTCTCCAGGGGCGTGGCCTTTGCCAGGGTGAAGGGGCCTGAGGCAGCCCTGGGGGAGTTTTTCTGGTTCAGGCATTCCTGTTTCCTGGTGAGGCTGCCCTTCTGTGGCAGGCAGCGTGCCCCCTGCCCATCCCCTCACACAGCCCCTCCACAGCATGTTTGACAGAGGCCAGCTTTCACTTAGCAGGGTCTGTCCCCCCAGCCCGGAAGTCCCCTGAGCTGCAGCTGCCCCTGATAACACCCATGGCAGTCCTCTGCTCCCCAGGTCCTGCTGTGGACTGGCTGCAGCAGGCTCTGTCCAGTCTGTGGCTCTCAGACTTTCCTCCTGCACCGGGGCCCAGGGGTGAGCCCACACACACCCCCACCCCAAACAAGCCCTGAGAAACCAGGGACTCTGAGGTAGCAGCTCAGGCTGCTGGGCCACATAGGGAAAGGGAAATGTCCTGGGCTGGAGGTAGGTGGTGCCAGGCTCTGGGCTGGGCAGGACTCATGTTGTCCCTGTCACAGGAGGGCTCTGCAGGCTGGGGAGCCTCTACTCCTCTCCAGGCCTCTGTGTCCTTCTCCTCCCTGAAAGGTGGGGGCATGGGGTGTGGGAGACCAGTGACTGAGGACCCTTCCAGCTCTGCTCCATCCTCCACAGTGCCCTCCACGGTGAGGGGGGCTGCTCTTAGGAACTCCATTTGGCCTGAGTGGGCACGGCTCCAGACTGTGGCTGCTGCTACCTTCCCCAGAATCCAGGCAAGCTCAGAGCAGGGAACTCAGAGCTCCTCTTAGGCTGGCCTTCCCTGCTGGGCTCCCACACACTCACAGCCCTCCTCTTGGCCCCGGGGCCTCTGAGAACAACCTTTAGAACAACCCCAGTCTGAGGTCTGGGTGACAGAAGTTGGGACAGAGGAAACAGAGTCACAATCTTGGTTATTTGATTCAACAAACTTATATTTCATGAGTGTTTATTTTTGCTTCTTTTCTGTATGCACTGATGCATGACACAAATGTCCTGGAGGATCTCATTGACTTATAGTGGAAAGAAATTTCTAAACATAGTTTTTAACACATGATGATAATAAATCTGTGTTGCCTGGCGACTAGGCACACCAGGAAAGGACACCTAATTCAGCTTGCTCTAATGACTGTCAGGGAAGTCCTCTGGGAGTAAATGATACTTAAGAAGGATTTTAATGATTGAATAGGATTTTGCTTAACAGAAAAGGGGAGGGCATTTTAGATCGGAGGAGGAACATAAGAAACCTTGAGGCAAGGGCATGGAGGCTTGGCCTCAAGGGTCTGACTGGACCAGACCAGTCAATAGCTACTAAGAATTTAGTTGACAAATGTCCATTACACAGTCCAGCTTGACAGTGTATCCTAAATATACCCTATGACCCACAATCCACTTGTAGTAAGCAATCCCGGTGAAATACTACACTAGCACGAGGAGGTATGCGTGCATGTAAAAGGCCATTGCAGCAGGTTTGTAATAGCACTGGAAACCATCTAAACCTCTTATCAACAAGAAAACTACAGTATTTCGCAGTATAATATATGCAGCAGCTACATGTGAACTAGTCTTACAGGTCTAATGTATGTATGTGTGTTTTACACACCAAGCAATTAACGCAATTCTGACACTGAGATAGTGCCAGATCCCAAAAGATAAGGGCTCAGTCTCACAAGAGTGAAACCCACCCCTCCCCCCAACATTTCTGATGCCAATTTCAAGACCAGGCTGTCAGCTGTGTCCTCTGACTGACTGACTGATTATAGATCGGCAGTGTCTTCCAACCCTCTTGAGGTTTGATTAATTTGTTAGTCTGACTCACAGAACTCAGAGAAATGGTTACTTACATTTAATTGTGAAGGATACAGATGAATATCCAGATGAAAAGGGACAAAAGGCAAGGTCTAGAAGGGTCCTGTCCCCCATAGAACTGGGTGTGCTACCCTCCCCTCACATGAATGACTTCATCAACCTGTAAGTCATCAAATCTTGTTCATTTTCCCTCTACCTTTCTTAGGTTTTTGGCTGAGACACCATCTATAATAAGATTAATAGGAAAACAAAAGTTTGATAACATGCATACCTCCTAAATAAATGGGAGAGACCTAAGTAAACCAAATAATTAGTTGAAATGGCCCCAGCCATCATCTTAAACATTATTTTCAGCTAAAAACAGAGTTGTTGTGGGGAGGGGAAAGCCAATTGTGGGAGGCTACCAAAACAGGCATAGTAAATCGTGTGGTAGTTGTGTAATGGGTGACTTCTCCATTAATGAATAATTCCTAGGGCCTCCCTGGTGGCGCAAGGGGTTAAGCACAGCACTGTGAAGCTATCCGCAGCCTCTGCAGCATGCGTTGATCCCCAGCCGGCCAGGGAGCTACCCACATGGTGCAGCAGACCTCTCTTGACTTGCCTGCTGCTCCCCTCAGCAGTGTATTTCAGTAGATCCACCTGTTCTGCTTCCCTCACTGTCTCTGGTGAATCCTCTCAACATCCCCCCCACATCTGGCCCGTACCCCAGTTCTTGTATGCATAATTTTTTTTTAAAGAAGAAGAGTTCCTAGACATTTGGTCATCCTCCACTTCCTGGTCCAGAGAAGAAGACACCCTTCTAAATGGAGACTTTCCCTCAAACATGTAAATAAATGTCTCTTACAAAAGGGTCACTTCTTGGGGGCAGAGGTACTCCGCTTTTCCTATGTCTGCTGTTTCTTCAAATTAAATCAGCATAAAATTATCCTTATGCCAAAGAGAAAAATATTTGAGGGTGAACAAATTTTTCTCCTCTTGAAGAGTTTTATAGAACTTAATCTGCAGTTCTCCCCAACTTCCCCTGGCAGAGGTCAGTGGGTGGGGATGGAAGTTCCACTTGCTCTTTCTGGTAACCAGCTCTGTTCTAAGGACATGTAGGGGACTGGCTCCAGGTTACCTTATTATAATAAGCTCAAAAGGGGTTCCTTATGAATGACAAAAGATGCCCCTATCACCTAGAAAATTCTAAGGCTTTGAGGAGCCTTGTGCCAGGAAGGAAGATCAAATATATTTTTTATTATGAGACAATAGGTAACAACATAGACAGATTTCCAAGAAATACTGCTGATTGAATAAAAGAACATTTTGTGTAATGAATGTAAGGTATAATGCCATGTATGTAATGTCATTTGGATTCTATGAGAGAGAGTGTGTGTGTGTGTGTGTGTGTGTGTGTGTGAAAGAGAGAGAGAGAGAGAGGTGTTCCTTTTTATGTGAATTACTTCTCTGTTTTTTATTCAATTTCTATTGGGTGAAGAGACATTAATGATTTTCAAAGATACCTCTAAATCTGTAACATGTTTTAAATATTTCATTCCAGTTTCTCTTGTGCCATTTAATATTCTCTGAGATGTTTTTGCTTTATAGACTTTGAAAGAGAATTCTTTATGATTTTTTCTGACTGCAAAAGCATTATTATAATAAAAAAATTCAAACTCAGCAACAGTAGCGCACGAGGAGAATGTTCAATACTTTTCTGACATCTGAAAGATGAATGCCTCTGGACTCAGCAAATAGAGAGAAGGTGTGTAATTTTAGGAGTAAGCAAGGCATAATGGCTAAGAGGTGTCGACTGCAAAGCAATCACCGCTGTGTGGAGGAAAAGGAAAGCTTTTATTTCCAGAATCAAAACTGAGGGTTAACCTAGGAGAAAGCAAGCCGTCCAGGAATGCAGAATGCCCCCGCCAACTGCTTTTATCACTCCCTGTCCCCTCTACCCGCCACCATCCAAGGTAGGATCCAGGTTATATACCATTGGCACAGACAGACTCTTTTAAGTAGAAAAACAGTTACGGTAAGTCAATAATGTTAGAGTAGCAGAGCATTTGTTTCATTTTCATACGATCATTTTCTAAAAACTTGGCAGAGTAGGATATGTATACTTAAATGCAGGGGGTTGTTACCTTTATGTGAGAAGCAATAGGTGTGTGAAGAAGGCAAAAACTTAAGAGATAAAATCTATCATAAGGAAATGCCTTTGTTTCAGATATGTTAGATAGGGACTCTTATCTCTTTGGGTGGTGGTTCTGCTCAGGACCACAGCAGGCAAAGCAAGCCGCAGGGTGCTCTCACAGCAAATCCCTTTGATATACTGACTCAAACCTCTGCAGGTCACTTTGTTTGTACATTGTGCCCAAACTTTGCAAATTTCTTGCAAAGGGCCTCCCTGGTGGCACAAGGGGTTAAGCACATTACTGTGAAGGTATCCCCAGCCTGTGCGGCATGAGTTCCATTCCCTGCAAGCCAGGGAGCTACCCACATGGCACAGCAGACCTCTCCTGTCTCGCCCGCTGCTCCCCTCAGCAGTGCAATTCAGTCAGTCTGCCTGTTCTGCTCCTCACTCTGTCTCTGGTGAATCCTCTTACCCCCCGCACCTCTGGCCTGTACCCCAGCTCTTATATGCATAAATAAATAAATCTTAAAAAAAATTCTTGCACAGAGATCTGACTTAAGAGTTAGACAAATCTGATTTCAAATTCAGGTTCCTGGACTTACTGGCTGTGTGACCCTGGATAAGTCACCCAAACTTTCTGTGCTTCAGTTTCTTCATGTGTAATAAAGTAATAATGCCTCCTCCAAAGAGTTGTAAGGATTAAAGAAGATCCCAAATAGAAAGTAGCTGGCCCAAAGTCCTTGATTTATTTTTTTTATGATTTATTTATGCAGGGTCTCCCCGGTGGCACAGTGGTTGAGCACTGGGTAGCAAAGCTGTCCGCAGCTTCTGCAACGCTGGTTTGATCCCCGGCCACCAGGCGAAGGCCCCACATGGCGCACAGACCTCTCCTGCCGCCGTAAAAAGGAAAAAAAAAAAAGATTTATTTATGCATACAAGAGATGGGGAACAGGCCAGAGGTGTGGGGAGTGAGAGGATTCACCAGAGACAGAGTGGGGAACAGAACAGGCAGACTGACTGAAATACACTGCTGAGGGGAGCAGCAGGCA